CAGGTGAGAAGTTTGCCACAGACCTCACTGGCTTAAATCAAGTGTTGACAGGTCCGTCTGTGGTTACTTCCATAGGCACTAAAAAAGATTCTTTTTCCTAACTTTTTTCATGTTCTGGAGGCAACCCCCATTTCTTCAATAGTAATTCCTCCTCCTTCTTCAAGTCATCAATACCATATCAAATTCTTTTTACAACACATCTCTCTGTGGCTTCGGCTTCAGTAATCACATCTCCATCTGACTCAGAATTTTTCTTTCTTCCTCTTCTACTTTTATTTTATTTTATATTTTATTTTAAAGATGTGGTGTACAAGTCAAGATTAGGTACATAAATGTCTGTGTACAGGTGAAGTTTGTGCCTCCCATTGGTTCTCACTTCACCTGGTTTAGGATCAGGTAGCCTTGGTGATGTTATGTGACTCCATTACCCTCCTTCCCCTGGCAGTGTCCTGCTACTGCCAATTCCCTTCTTGTAGTGTTGTGATATATGTCCAGGGTCCACCTATGAATGAGAGCATGTGGTACTAGTTGTTTGTTTCTGTGATAGATCACTGAGTACGATAGACTCTAAATCCATCCAAGTTTCTGCAAAGTTCATAATTTTGTCTTCCTTTATGGCTGCATAATATTCCATCATGTGTATGTACCACATTTTTTTAATCCAGTTTGTGCCTCCCATTGGTCCTCACTTCACCTGGTTTCAAAGGGCAGCATGGTCGGTTTCAAGATTTTGCAAAATAGTGATGCAGTAAATATGTGTGTGCAGGTATTTTTTTTGTATAATGATTTGAGTTCCTCTGGTGTATTTCCAAAAGATGGATTGCTGGGTCATATGGAAGGTCAATTTTTAGATCTTTTAGAAATTACTACACTGTTTCCCACAGAGGTTGTATTCATTGACACTCTCACCAATGGTGAAGTGTTCCCTTTTCTCCACATCCACTCTAGCATCTGTTTTTGTTTTGTTTTGTTTTGAGCTACTAATGATGACTCTTATGGCTAGATTTAGGTGGCATCTCAGTGTAGTTTTGATTTGCATCTATTTGATGAATGGTGAGGCTTAGCATTTTTTTCATGTATCTGTTGGCTGTTCATATATGCCTTCTTTTGAGAAGTGTCTATTCATGTCTTTTGCCCAGTTTTTATAGGGTTGATTTTTGTAGTTGTTGCTGTTTTCCCTTCAGCATGTTTGCATTCCTTGTAGATCCTGGATGTTACATCTTTGTCAAATAAACAATTGGCAAATATTCCATGCTCATGGATTGGAAGACTCAACATTGTTAAGATGTCCATCCTACCAAAGGCAAACTACAAATTCAATGCAATACCCAATAAATTACCAACATCATTCTTCTCATCTTGAAAATGACAATACAGAAATTCATATGGAAAGAAAACCAACCACAAACAGCCAAAAAAAAAAAGAAAAAAATCCTCAGCAAAAGAAACGAAGTGGGAAGCATCACACTTCCAGACTTTAAACTTTATTATAAGGTTACAATAATTAAAACAGCCTAGTATTGGTACAAGAACAGGTATAAAGACCAATGGAACAGGATGGAGATTCCAGAAGCAAAACCTCAATTTCTTAACCAACTCATCTTTGACAAAGCCTCCACTAACAATCACTGGAGAGAGGAGAACCTATTCAGTTAATAGTGCTGGGAAAACTGGCTGACCACATGCAGAAGAATGAAACAGGACCCCTACTTATCACCATACACAAAAATCAACTCTAAATGGATTGAAGACCCAATCATAAAACCTCAAACTATAAGAATCTTAGAAAATGTAGGAGGCATTAGAATAGGTAACCAATTCCTGAACATAACCCCCAAAGCCCATGACATAAGAGAGAAGATAGACAAGTGGGACCCCATCAAACTGAAAATCTTTTGCATAGCAAAAGAAACCACTTCCACTTAAGCACTCTTGTGATAATTACGGGGCACACCAGAATACAGGATAATCTCTTTATTTTAGAACCAGTTGACTGGAAGCCTTAATTCCATCTACAACCTTAATTGTTATTTGCTTTGTGACCTAGCATATTTACATGTTAAGGATTTAGGACAAGTACATTTGGTGGACAATTATACTGACTTCCATAGAAAGTAGGGCAACATTCCTAGTAATACCCACTAAATAAGTGCCACTTGTATAAGGAATTTTAATTTATTTCTCCTGAAATTTAAGTATATCACCATAGTTCATCCAATCGGTGACTTACAAAACTTTGATTTAAAATATTACACAATTCTAGTAAGCAATTAATTGCAAAGTGAATCCCAACATCAGGGACATTAAACACTAAAACTACATGTTTTAACATTAATAATTTACGTATTAAAACATTTAATACTTTTTCTTCCAGTATCTATATACCTACCTACTGGCTCACCAAACCATCTTACTTACCTAAATCAACAGGAAAAACTGTGATGGAGAAGGTAGTAAAAGTAATTTTTACTTTTTACCTTCTAAATTGCCTTCCAAATATAGGCTAAATATATAACTACAACTTATTAACTAAAGTAATTATTTAATATTCTATAATATTGATATAGCCCAACTCAGTCAAAATGCACAAACCTTCAGACTCAGCAAATGAACAAACTATCCTATTGTTTTAAAGTTAAAATATTGTAAACGAAATTTATTTCCAAGTTTATATTTCCATTTCCAATTTTATTATATAACTTCAAGCAGAGATATTTTTCTCCCAGTCAGTTTTCTAGCTGTATTTTATCTATTATATGAATGCATTTGCTATAAAGGGAAGCTGATTCGGTATAGACAGAAGATCTGAGGTAGAATCCAGCACAACAGTGATGTTGAGCAAATTTGTAGCTGTTTCACGGGAAATAAGAGGATGTGCTAGAAACTGGTACATACAGAGTGCTGATTAACAACTGTCTGCTTTGCAATTGTCACAGTTTTACAATATTCTGTGAGATAGACAATATAGCCTCTATCTTAAAGGTGAGGAAGCCAAGCTTTCAAGGTATTTAATAATGGGCTCACATTCATATAATTAAACAATAGTCCTCTGATTTAAATATAGATATATGAATTCAAAGTCTAAGACCTGCTTGTTCTACATTAGAGCTTTTTCATCTGTAAAATGGAAATAGTAATAAAACTACATGGTTCAGATTTTGAGGGAATAAATATGATAGTGTCCATGAAAATATTGTTTGAATTGCAATGCAAAGCATAAAGCTTACTATTTCTTTTTAAATAGAGGCATTCTTTCCATTTATAACTCACTTTAGTAATATAAATTTAAAGCTTGTAATTGCTGTCTTTCTTTCCTACTATACCTTGGGAAATAGGAAAAGTTGTCTTAAAGTTACCATTCAACTCCATATTATTTAAGCTAAGAAATACTAATTCCGCATCCTTCCTTTCTCTTTCCTATTTCAGTGTTTTTATTATAGTATTCAAATGAAAATGGGCTGACTTTGCATCAGTTATAGATAAAAGAAGGAAAAAAGTATAAACTCACTAAAGAAAAGCATGTATGAAAAAATATATCCCTTCATAATACATGGAAAGATTTTTAAACTGTGTATAGATAAACATTTTATTGGTTGATTTGATCACTGAATCCCTTTGTTATATTAGAGATTGACAGCTATTAAAATGACCATTAAGCTATATAAATGCTCATTTAATTTTTTTAACAAGTCACAGAGTTTACTAGTGCTCTCTCTTGTATTAATACTGTCCCCATATTCTTCTTTCCCTATACATGACACTTTAAAAATAAGGGAGTATTTCTATGGCTTAGGCTACAAGTAACATATAAGGCTTAAACTGGCTTAATTAAAATAAGGATATTCTGGCTTACAAATTCAGAAACCCAAACATTAACCTGGGTCCTTTCCTAACATGGCACTGCAGCTACACAGTGGTAGATGCATAGATAACAGAGAGGCAACTGCAACATCTATAATACAGTTGAGACTGCTAAAAAAGGCTTTTGCTGGCAACATTGCTGCATAAGCAGAAGAAAAAATAATTATTTTGAGAAAAGCTTTGCTGGTAATCAAACGCTTCCGGGGTTAGAGTGATTTCATATCAGATTTTAATTTATGTCTATTCAGGCAGGAAAAGGAGAAAACTACAGGAAGCAGGTGAGAGAGCCAACACTAGGAAAACTATCCCTACATCAACGCAGCTCATTGCTTTCGTCGTTTTTATTTATTGTTTACTTTACAGATAACAAATGACACATCAAAGATGGTTAAGCTAAAACACTTATCACCCTACATAAATGAATCCTACATAATATGCCAAAATTAGATTACAACACTTCTATATGCCTCATCAGTGATAACTTGTTATATACAGCTACATGACAAAAAATATATGTATAAAAATTGGATAGCTAAATTTATATTTATATAGATAGTTGCTTAATATATAAGCATACATGTGATCATTCTCTAAAAATTAGAAGAACTGTAAATTCAAGGGTTCTATTAGCTATACTGCTATGTTATAGGGATTTTTTTGGTAAACAAAATGGAAAATCTGCTACTTTCTGTACAAAAGCACCTCACAAGTCAGGCAAATTTTTGATAGTCTTTAAAAACTCCATAACATGCTTCAAATTTGACATAACTTTAAATAACACAAAACCAAATCTGTTATCCTGAAAAATAGTCAATCATAATGTAATTAATATACTTTGTCTTGGGTTATCAATAATAATAAAATTGTAATGAACCCATGTGTGTATCTCTGAGAAAATAACCAAAAAAGGATAGCTTTAAAACCTCACTTAAAAATTACCTTTAATATATGGTTTATACATGTCTTTAAGCTCTTTCATTAGTAATTGAAGTGTTGACAAATGATTAAACATATAAGCAGAAGTATATATCCTGACATTTTAAAAATATTCCTTTAAAAACCAGCACATACATAATTTCCTATACTTAAGTGATGTGTTCCAGGTCTTCAGAATACCAAAAGTTTTTACATACACTTACCAACAGTATCACATGGTTCATCTTTGTGCACACAGAAATCTTTTCTAGAAAGAAAAATAAAAAATTGAAATTATTTTGCACAAGCAATAGACATCATGTGGCTCATTTTAATGTCATGTGTTAATTGAAGCACATCTTTTACTCCCAGGAATTTAAAAACAAATGTTAGCTAATTTTTAATTCTAAAAAAAATGGAAGATTAACCAAGCTTTATGGTACATTTATACATGATATAATCCTTAAACGTTTTTGTTCCACTTTATAGAAAATAGTTCAAAAATTAAATTCCATCTTGTTTTGAATTTTACAGGATTTATCAGTTTAATATAAAAGAATATCTGATGTTGGCACAAGGCTTTATTGCAAGAGCTCTACTTCATGTAGCACAAAAATAATATCCTGATTAAATATTTAAACATAAAAAATAAAATTTAAAACAATGTAACACTTTATATCATAATATTGGCTAACTTTTTTTAAATCGATCATTTTAATAAGGGTATGAGAAAATTAGTATTTTTACACAAGTGGGATCATTCGATTTTTAAAAATAACAAAGCAAGTCAAAGAGGTGAGAAAGCCAAAGTGGCTTAAGGATGGCAGTGATAGGAATAGGACTGACTCTCATGACAAAAGAGTGTCAATTATGCAAAAGATTTTAATAGGGAAAGTGAGAAAAACTGTAGGAAGGGGGATGCAGATCAACCTAAGGGAGTAAATAAAAGATTTAAATAAAAAAATTAGCTATTACAAGCTCTGATACACAATTCTTCAGAAGGATAAGCAATTTTCGATTGATTTTTACATGTTACTGAGAAAGGACTGCTAAAATTCCATTGTGGTTATAAATTTTTTGATGTTTCCCCGTGATTCTAATATTTATTCTGGGTACTCTAGTAATTATTCTAATGTTTATTTTTGAAGCTAAGTTATTAAGCACCTAAATGCCTAAGTTTTTATAATTTATTTTCAATTATTGTTTTATTATTATATACAAACCATGTTTATCCCTTATGTTTTTATTTATTAAAGTCAATTGTGTCTGATGGTAACAAATATCAATATATTAGTAATATACTAGCAATTGCTTAGCATATCTTTTTCCTTTATTTTGTTTTCTTTTATTTTCTCTGAGTAAATAACATATAACTAAAATTTAAAAGGTAATGATATATCATTACAAATACATTTAGTAATTTTCTATTTTATTATTGGTATATTTGAATTTTTCTACCAAGTTACAATTTTTTGATCTTTCCTATTTTTTTCTTTATAATTTTATTCCCCCCCCTTTTCTGCAATGGCTTTGAAAGAAATACTAAATTGTGTTTGATATGATTATTTTTACATTTTAAAGTACAGTGTATTCATCTCCTATTGCTGATGTAATAATTCCATAAATTTAGTGGCTTAAAACAACACAGATTTCTTAACCTACAATCTGAAGACCAGAAGTTTGAAATGAGTTTTCTGGGTTAAAATTAACGTGTTGATAATATCGTGCTCTCTTCAGAAACGCTAGACGAGAATCTGTTTCCTTGCCATTTCCAGCTTCTAGAGGCCTTCTTTCTGGCTCAGGGCCTAATTCAATTTTCAAGGCTGGTGATAGCATCACGACTCCTCTAACTTTCCCACCTCCTTTTTTCCCTCACTCTAGGAAATTCTCTCCATCTCAAGATCCTTGGCATAATCACATCTACATAACTCTTTTTTGTATATAAGATAATATACTTGCAGGTTCTGGAGATTATAGCATGGGCATTTTTGTGAGGACATCATTCTGCCATCACATACCCTTAAAATGTCTAAAGTTCAAAGTTCCCTTTATCCTTCTTCTGAAAACGGTAAGAATATGAAATGTTTGTAATTCAGTCTCTACCTTCAATATTTCATGGTTTTTTAAATCTAATATCTTGATTTCTTAGAATTTCAAATTAGACAGTGTTCTAAAACCATAAGTGCTTATTTGGCAATTTGTCTATATATTTAGCAATTTATTTTCTTTACTTCTAAAAGGCTCATTATTCTTTTTATTCAGTATTACCTTTAATGAGGCTCTACAAATAATAAATTATCCCAGTTTTTATTTTATTTTCATTTATTCATAATAGAATAGTAGCTGAGTATTGAATTTTAGGTTGACTTTATTGACAGTCAGCAAATTGAAAATAACATTTCATTTTAATATAGCATTCATAAATGTTGATTCAAAATCTGTGATCACAATTTTTGTTTTTTCATGCATTTGATTTCTGCTTAACTTTAATAATTATCTTTATCTTTATGGAAAAAGACATGTAGTCTCTCCAAGATGTATCTAGATACTGATTATGTTTTTATTTATCTTTCTAGTATTTGGTTTATTTTTCAACTTGAAGATCCATGTACATGCACACAAAATCTTACCATTATCTATTTAGTCTCTTCTTCTAGGAATACATTGGCTTTTCTCATTATGTCTGCAACTCTCAAGCACCTTTCTGTATTTCCATCTCTTAACCCCTCTATGCTGCTTCTGGAAGGATCCCTCAGATCAATCATCCAATCCACTAATACTCTCTTCAGCTGAATTTAATCTGTTTTTCAACATAGAAATTGAGAGTTTAAGTAAAAGTACCCTATTTTCTTTCTTGAACTTTTATTTTCCTCAACTTTCAAATCAATTGTTCTTTTTTGCCAAAACATCTTATTTTTATGTTTTGATTTTGGGAGGTGCTTTTAATCATATGAACAAGTTCATTTTATTATCTATCAGTATTTTTTTTAAATTTAATATTCTTTATTGTGCCTCTGAGTTCCCACAATGGAACGTCATCACTGCATTTTGGAAGTCATATATGAACTCACTGATACTTTACTTGTGGATGCCTTGCGTGGTATAAGTTGAGAGAGTCCCTCCCGAACAATTTTGCAAATGCTTTCACTAAGATCTTCAATTTTGGAATCAGATTCATGGTAATAAATTCCCAGAAGAACCATTTCTTTCCTAATTTGGGATTACAGATGAGACAGAGTGCTTCCTTGTTCACAATCCATGCTTGTGGCAGAGTTTTCACCAGATCACACTTTTATTAAGGGACTTACTATCTATCAGTTCTAGTTATATGTAATCATTTCAGTTTCACTTCCTCACTTTGTGTAGTCTCATTAAAACCTAAGAAACCATATTTTTTTAGTCCAATAAATTCCCTCAAGGAAGCTACTACATAACCTCAGATTCTTAGTTGTTGTTGTTTTGGTTCATCTGTGCATATAAAAGAATGCGTACATTTTTTCTACAATTTAAAGATATCTAAAATGAGACCATTTTTTAATTATCTAGTTAGCCAGATTATCACATAATTTAAAAAACTGAACTCAATCTGTCACTTACCATATAGGAGTTAAGTATAATAAAATTAAATGTTAGGTTTGTTCATTGTTGACATTAGATTTCAACATACAAAGAAACAAGCCATATAGGGCTTATTTTATTATTACACTTTATATCATGGAACAACTTTCACCAAACTCTTTAAAAAGCAGGATAATTGCCTCAATTAGATGCAGAAATTGACCTTAATAGCTTTTCAAGATACAACTTTCTACAATTGGGATTATGATAGTTATAAACTGTTATAAAGATTAGGACGTGCAACCGTATTATTTTTTTTCAAATAGTTGGAGAAAAAAGTATGTCGCTAGCCATGGGTATAAAAGAACTAGAGAATTAAGTACTGAAATATCAACAATTAATTATTAAAATTGTTCCCTGCCGGGCTTGGTGGCTCAGCCTGTAACCCCGAGCTTTTGGAAGCTGAGAGTTGCCTTAGCCCGAGGGTTCGAGACTCGCCTGGACAACTTGGCGAGACCTCATCTCTACAATAAGTCAAAAAATCAGCCTGGCGTGGTAGCGCATGCTTGTAATTCCGGCTACTCGTAAGGCTGAGGCGGAAGGATCGCCGGAGCTCAGCCGGTCGAGGCTGCGGTGGCCGGGAGCGGCCACTGCACTCCAGTTTGGGCGACAGGGCGAGACTCCAACTCAAAAAAGAAAAAAAAAATTGTTCTCTATTTCTCCTGGAAAATTTGACAGAGATAATTCTATAAAATAGATATATAATCAGCTCAAGTACAACAGTAAAGGGGAGAAGTGTAGAATTGAAATAGAGATGATAAAATATAGCCTTAATAAAATCTTTTCAATACAAGGTGCAAAATAAACTTAATAGAAATTTAATTCACTTAAATCACACCCAATATTTAGAAATATATTTATCATTCTTCACTTACAAATAACAAAACAATTCAAGTATAATAATTTATCAAATAAATTGCTTCATAAAGAATCACTAGAAAATTTATTATTCCTGTGGGATAACACTTCTCTAATTTTCATCACAACTCAAGTAAGGCAGAGACTCAGGCCCTCTTACATATTATCCCTTCTTCCTTCCTTTCCTCACTTATTTCACTTCACTCTCACAGTTTGGATTTGATTTGTTTCAATAGCCATGCTTCCTCCTACCTCTGTTTGCCTTTGTAATGCATCCCAGAGATACTTTGCTCTAAGGACAGTCTAGTGCCCATTGCAGAGGCTTTCTTGTCAGACTAGCAAGGGAGTCATCCCTAAAGCATAATAGATACAATGTAGTGCTGCAATTGTTATCTGCTGATTACTTTCAAACAATAGGAAGAGCATAAAATGTTTTCATTAATTTGAAAAATTTTTAATGTTTTTCTCAAATATGCTATATTTTTATTCTGGTACACCCATAAGCTAGTAAATCTATTCTTGATAACTGAAAGTTGGCTGTTAGCACTTGATATATTAACTTCTTTTATATACAGAATGTATACTCCTATCAAGATTGCCTGCATATGACTTAATAGTCCACTGTTCCAAGTAAATGAATATTGCAAAGTAGATGCATTTTTGTTATTTATTAAAAAGCAAATAGCAAAGAAAACAAAAACATTTTGATAAAATAATTAAAATGTCTATCAGCATTGAAAGTTTTTATATCCATGTTTTTTGTTTTAAAAATAATCTTTCTGAAAATATATT